TCCTAAAAACTCGAATCACGTAAGTTAAGATAAAACAATCTGTTATACTAACCTAAAAACTCGAATCACGTAAGTTAAGATAAAACAATCTGTTATACTAACCTAAAAATTAACTTACGTCATTGGAGTTTTTAGGTTAGAACAAAGTATAAGATATCGGAAATTTGGAGATTGGTCTGAGATGATGAATTCCTTGTAAATGTTTGAACAAAGTATGAGATATCGGAAATTTGGAGATTGGTCTGAGATGATGAATTCCTTGTAAATGTTTGAACAAAGATATCGGAAATGATAATATAATGTATTTGAGATATTTGAGACATTTTCCCCATAAATAATGATCAGCTACACGAGAAGTGTAACAGGTAGCGCGTGCATAATAAAAGGTCCATCAGATCCTCGAGATTAACAAATTAAATATCATTAAACGCAAGTGTATAACTACAGCACGAACTTCTATCCAAGCTTATGTGATTCGAGTTTTTAGGATAGTATAACAGATTGTTTTATCTTAACTTACGTCATTGGAGTTTTTAGGTTAGTATAACAGATTGTTTTATCTTAACTTACGTCATTGGAGTTTTTAGGTTAGTATAACAGATTGTTTTATCAAACATTTACAAGGAATTCATCATCTCAGACCAATCTCCAAATTTCCGATATCTCATACTTTGTTCAAACATTTACAAGGAATTCATCATCTCAGACAATCTCCAAATTTTCCGATTTCTCATACTTTGTTCAAACATTTACAAGGAATTCATCATCTCAGACCAATATCCAAATTTCCGATATCTCATACTTTGTTCAAACATTTACAAGAAATTCATCATCTCAGACCAATCTCCAAAGTCCTTCTTAAAGTTTGTTTTTGAAAATGTCAGTTGTTGAATCTTAACAATAAAAACACAGAACCCGTTGGAAAACATATCGTTATATTAATCTTTTCAGAATTACAGAAACATTTGATGTTAAGTAAGATATTATTGACAAAGTTTATATCGTTAGAATGATAACTGGTGTTTTAAAAACATTATGTTGATATAAAACAATACAGTGAAAAAGAGGTTTCAGAATCCCCCGATAGGGTGCGTTAGACTAAGTTGTTCAACAACTTTTCTGAAAGTATTTAAAAACGTTTACAAACAGAGTTGTTCAAAGTTACTATTCCCGTATACTCCTCTTCCCAAATAATGATTGTTAGTCACGACTTGTTTCGGCTCTAAGCCTGAATCAGGTGTCATCTACAGCTTAGAATATTTCCTGCATCATAATCAAATCTCACATGTTGCCGACCCCAAGAAATATGGATCATAATCAAATCTCACATGTTGCCGACCCCAAGAAATATGGATCATAATCAAATCTCACATGTTGCCTACCCCAAGAAATATGGATCATAATCAAATCTCACATGTTGCCGACCCCAAGAAATATGGATCACAATCAAATCTCACATGTTGCCTACCCCATGAAATATGGGATATATCCTGTTCAGTTTTTGTTTTAATAATTCACAACCAACTGACACGTGATATAAGCCTATAGGTTAAATGTCTTTATTTGGGAGTTTTTTTAGGATAACGAAGTTGATTACGTTTAGTTAAGATGTTTGAAAGTTCCAGCTTGTTTCGTTGGATCAGCTTTAGAGTTAATTTCTATAAATATACACGTTTTATTAATTTTAAAATATCTACACAAACTTACATATCCCCAACACCAGCAAGAGGACACACTGCATGTTCGGATAATTCTGGTCAGTTGAAGGAAAATATCACTATTCCCTGTTCGAACACAAAACTCTGAGGAAAACAGAGCGTTAGTGATTAATGCTGCTCCGCTCTTTCAAACGGGCCGATACCAAAGAAAACAGGGTGAGGGCGCTGCTGTCGAATCGAAGATTATGAATCACTTACAGATAAAGAAGAAGTACAGTATGATAAGCCCAACATGAGAGGGATGTTTCTATTGTTTCACTTATCCTAGTGAGAATTATCACACGCACTCTGCAGTTGCCTTGAGATAAGTACCGTACGCCCAGATGGGGTGACTTGTATATTCTACGTAAAATATACGATACAAGACGAGATAGAAGAAAGACGTTAACTCAAACACGTGATCATAGAGGATCAAACCACTGGAAACTTTGGAAATGAAAAACCAGTAAAGTTAGGTTTTCAATTCAACCTTCAAGTGACAAGTTAAAGTGTTGAATATATCCACAAATCTGTTCATTACTAACACGTAAAGAGTGTTTAATATATCCACAAATCGGTTCATTACTAACACGTAAAGAGAGTTTAGTTTATCCACAAATTGGTTCATTACTAACACGTAAAGAGTGTTGAATATATCCACAAATCGGTTCATTACTAACACGTAAAGAGTGTTGAATAAATCCACAAATCGGTTCATTACTAACACGTAAAGAGAGAGTTTAATATATCCACAAATCTGTTCATCACTAACACGTAAAGAGTGTTTAATATATCCACAAATCTGTTCATTACTAACACGTAAAGAGTGTGGAATATATCCACAAATCGGTTCATTATTAACACGTAAAGAGTGTTGAATAAATCCACAAATCGGTTCATTACTAACACGTAAAGAGTGAGAGTTTAATAACTCCACAAATCGGTTCATTACTAACACGTAAAGAGTGTTGAATATATCCATAAATCGGTTCATTACTAAGAAGTAAAGAGTGTTGAATAAATCCATAAATCGGTTCATTACTAACATGTAAAGAGAGAGTTTAATATATCCACAAATCGGTTCATTACTAACACGTAAAGAGTGTTGAATAAATCCACAAATCGGTTCATTACTAACACGTAAAGAGAGAGTTTAATATATCCACAAATCGGTTCATTACTAACACGTAAAGAGTGTTGAATAAATCCACAAATCGGTTCATTACTAACACGTAAATAATGTTTAATATATCCACAAATCGGTTCATTACTAACACGTAAAGAGTGTTGAATAAATCCACAAATCGGTTCATTACTAACACGTAAAGAGTGTTGAATAAAT